AAATATTTCTCGAATTACTCGTAAATCATGATTTCAGGTGGTTTTTCGAAGAATCCCAAGCGTCTTGTGCTCAGTTCGAATACTTGGGTGCTGGCGGGAATGCGAATCGATTCGTTGATGAAGCTACTTGTATGCGTGTTTGTGGAACCGGTAGATCCATTACTTCATCAAGTTTCTATTGACTTAGGTTATGGTTTTAACAAATTATTTCAGAATTTGTTAGTGCTGTTCATGGTGAAGCTGACCATAGAGCAGGAGAGGCCAATTATGCATTATGTGAATTGCCTTTAGAAATCGGAAATGGCGCGTTCAAAATACCACGATTTTATTTTAACAAGGTAGGCCATTTGATTTCACTGAAAGTTCCGTGTGACTAACAGTTCCACGTCGAAAAATGTCTTTTATGCAAGCCAATTCAAAATAAATTATTAGATGGCACGGAAACTACCCAGAGAAAATCTGGCAACCGTTCAATTACTTTCTGAATGTACCAGAAGTTCCCTTAGAATCACTACATAAGGACACTATCCACTTGAATGCACACGAGATATCTGACTTCCTGTTCTTTGCTTGATCAAGCCTGTTCAGCCACCAAACGGTGTCCCCACACTTGACACCTGGTCTTTCACGGGCCGGGCCACGCCGTTGTTGATACCTCCCAAAGCTCGTATCAAGACCCGACCTTGAGACCCTTTCCATGCGTTTCTGTGTTCGTTAAAGTTTGGGCGGGCATTTCTTCTCATTTTTACAAAATGTGCTCTCAGAAATGTCAAAGTGTCAGTCATAGGAAAGCTGGAGGATTATTGAGCATTTTCCACGCATGGGCACTAACCTAGGCATCGCTTTCGTTCCAGGGTGAGGAGAAATGCGAACCGTTCGACTATACCGGTGATGGTGGGAATGGGAATCGTTTTCTAACGGAAGAGGATTGCAAGCAGCTCTGCCTTGCAAGTTCGTATACCATCTTTACATGATGTTTTTATGTTTAGTTATATTGTAAATGCTTATAAGTGGTTAATAGCTTTGGAGAAATCGTCAATTTTGAGGATCTGATCTCGATTCTTTGCTCTCCTAAACAACTAGATAAAATTTGAGTTTAACTTTCGATGCGAGGCTGTCTGCCAGTTTTGTTTTGTCGGTTGAACAATGAGTCAAAATGTATTGGTGGTAAGATGGGATACTAAAATGAAATACGTGGTTATCAGCATGAGAAAGCAAGTCAGAGAGCGGCTAAAGTGCAAATTTTACGGAATTTGCGAGGATCGTAAAGCAAAGCTCATTACTCTAGACCTTCAAGATAGGGATCAACTCAGTCTCTTACTAAGTTTTTGTTTGCAGATCAGTACAACCAAGAACTTGCTTCTCCACAGGGAGATGATAGTAAGTTAACGTTTTACGCCCTTTACCAGAAACGTGCTACCTGATCCGTCAGTAAAGAGTTCTAGGTCGATCGGTGATAAAAGGTCTCGGGTAGACAAGATTTCTAGGTAGCACTATGCCCATATTGTATGGTATGGTGGTTCCTGGGAGCGTATAAACTTATTTCATTTAATTTAATTACGTTGAAGAAAAAGGATAAAGTTTTCGACGACAGTCAATCTCGCTTATGGGATTTTGATTTAGCTAAACAGTCGGAACAGCAATTAAGTTAACTTATTCTCGGCGTAGGACCCAGTTCTGACGAAGTTTTTCTTTAAAAAAAGCTTTAACTCCAATCTCGACTAGATTTTATGCTGAATTCCCATTTTTTCAGGTTCAGGAGATAAAGCAAGTGCCCTGGACTGGTAAGAAAAATAGTAAATACGTAAATATTTGTTTTTGTTTTTCTCTTCATAAACAACGAGTACCCTTACTTGGGCGCCATTTTTGGGCTCTTTGGATCTGAGCCACCCTGCCTTGTTAATACAGATGTTAAAACCGTAACGTCCTTGCACCAGAATACCATGAGAAACTCATTTGTCAATCTTCTTGAGTGGAGAATACCGACCAGTAAGCGAGAATCGTATGTCCCAGTCCACGCAGTAAAATCAGTCAACTACTACTAACGTTATCCGATACACTATAATTGATTGGACAAGAGTCTGCTACAGTAACACAAAAGTCACTGCCGGCATCATATCGTCGAGCTACAGTAACACATCAAAGTGGTATACCTGGGGTTTGTCAATTTGTGATGATCTCATTGGAATCCTACTATTTCAGCGATTCTTCAAAGCATCCAGGAATCTCACTTATGACCTGTCAATAGAAGGCAATAGGTCCGGTGCCTAGGGTGGTTGCCGATTATTACACGAGTTCCGGGCGATAGGCTTGAGCGGCTTGACTCTCTCGCATTATACAAGTTGACCCCGAAGACTCTCCGCGCGCGAGTCATCGCGATTGGAGTCTAGCCTCTTGCTCCCCTGCCATACTTGGCTTTTCGCACGCGCGTTCTGCGTAAACAATGTCTCTAATGTAGTATTTTTCCAAAACACCCACACAAAAACATATTTACAGGACCATCTTCATTGTGCTATGTATTGTGGTGTTCCTTCTTATAATTATTTTGATTACCGTATTGATCTGCTGTATTATGTTGGCTACGAAGAAAGGAAGAGCCGCAGCTGGACTAAGCGCTGCAAGCGGAAAACCGAAAACCAACAAAAATGCCAAGAACCCGAAGAAACCTACAAAAGGCGCTAAAGCAAAAACAAAATGAAAAATTCACCAGTAACAAAAAAAGTAATGAAAGGAAAAAGTAGGCGATCTATTGTGTACACATGCATATTTATTTAATTGTCTGAATACACCGAAAGGTTTGCCATACAACAACACAAAAACAAAAAGTTTAAGGCGATGGTACCTCGGCAATGACTAAAAAAGCAGAAAAGATCAAATGAAGTAATTGAGAAATCCTCAGATGAAGCCCAAGGCTGATAGGGAAGGCGCTACCTCAGAGGACGCATGAAGGGGCCTCAGTCGGCCTCGTACTGGGACCTTTCTTGTGGGTACAAGAAGGCTGTTTTCCCCGTGAAAAAGGTTTCTCAGCCAGATTTTGGCCCTTGGCCCAAAACTAATATAGAGGCAATAGCAGTGTGAAACTTGCTGACAGTTCAGCCGGTACGAACGGACCCGCATCGGGCCTAACTGGTAAGTTGCTGACAGCGCATGAAACCTTTTATGAAACGATTTCAAAACAACGACTGTAGGCTATCAGAGCGTTGCTGACTCTCGACCTTGCTTGCGAAAAAACAGGTAAAGTGTCGGTACCATAACTGGTAACTTTCTTAACCATTGGAAGACGATGCTAGTAGGAGCGGCCTAAGCCTCGACGTACCCGAAAAACGATCTAAGCGACATCCAAGGCAAATTTGTTCGATACCTTGCCTCGTGCTTGAAGTACTTGAAGTTGTTGGCCATAATCCTGACATCTAATGGCCAAAACCGGCTTCAGTACAAAAGAAAAGCGGATCCCGCTTCCAGGCGGAAACCGCTATAATAAAAAGATAGAAAAGAAGAAGAACACAGAACTAGAAGAAGAAGATGGTGATGATGATGAAGGAGAAGAACAAGGAATCATTATTATGATATGATGATAGACTGATATCACTTTAACAATTATGCGAAGTTTTATTCAAAACTTTTCGTCTCTAATTGCCATGAAGCTGCGTTGGTCACACACCACATGGAAGAGGAGACTGTTTCATACCCCTGAATGCGAACCAATCAGTATTCAACTGCTGTATTAATCAAAAACATCCTACTTGATTGTGGTGGCTATATATGTGTAACTAATAGAAAAACATATAAACAGGGAGTACCTGTCAGAAGGACTTTGGGGGATGCAGCAGATTAGGGTAAATGAATCCTAGGTGTAGCTTTTTACACGCACCCCACTCCCCCTCGCTCCTTCCCCATCCAAGGTGTACATCCCATATTCTCTGGGATGTTTCTTTGCTCCACTTACGCGGAATGAAGAAGGGCATCAATGGCAACGAAAGAAAATGGATTTATTGTCAGTAATAGTGAATGAATCACGCTTTTGCCCTCTGCCGACATAGTCTTGAATGAAAGGGCGAATTCTGGCAGTTGCCTCCTATCGTTCGTCCTCCCGCTCGCAGTCTCAACGTATAAACAACCTCAATGTAGATATGGACACTGCTTGATCTTCTCCGAGCACTTTACTTGTCCTATGCAACAACAGGCCTGTTTCGTACCTCGGTTGATTTCAGTGTGTATATCGAACCCCGGATCAGTATCCGCTTAGGGCAACGGAGCTTTTCATCTTTTGGTTCGGTTAGTTGGTACCAGACTCGGCTGGGAGGATAAAAGCACTGACTTGGGCATCGGCTGGCCACCACAAGTCGTTGTATAGGTCACATACCCATTCAAACACCGTGTGGAAGTCGAATGCAAGGTGTATTCCAAATAACGGAGTTATTAATGCCGAAGACTCTATCCTTCGGTAAACGTTCATTTTCCTTAGCTTATCTATGTTAACACATGGAATGTGATCAGCCGATTAGTCACCACCAGCATCATATCGTTGAGTTAGAAGCTTTCGAAGATGTTAAATTGTTTACCAGCGGCTACATCGGAAAGCAGAACTACCGCCACGAGGTCTTGCCACTCATACCGGAAGACGCCTTCAGCTGAAACTGGCCTATCACATTTACTTGAAAATCCACCCGGGACATCAACACCAGACATTTTTTTCTTTCTCTCCGCCTTGTGGGACAAAGCTAGCGACATTTTTCTGCTTGGCACATAACGAGATATAAGCAAAACCTGGATGGTGGAAGAAGTGGTGGGAGAATACAGGCCGTTAGATGACGTTGAAAACGGGCCAAGTCCGTCCGTGATAGGTGAGGGATATAATGATATGGATCTAATAAGAGCAGCGCTGAACAAGTTTGGTATAAAAGCCATCATTGTCGGTGGATTGCATTTTTTTT